GGGAAACAAACGTGAGCAAGCCGGCACGCAGAATTTTACAGCCATTCAGACACGGCAGCACCGGCACCTTCCCGCTGCTCTCGGAGGCAGCGCCCAGGCCGGAGGCCGAGCATCTCCTCGGTCCCCGTCCCCCCAGACCCCGAATGCCCCACCGGGCGCTCCCCAGGGCGAAGCCCTGCGAGAAATGCCCTGCGACGCCTCCAGGGAAGATGACGGCAAAAAATCAGCTCCAGACTCGTGGTGCTGCTCGGTGCCAGGGCAGCCCCCGGCTCCCGGCCACGGGCAGGGCAGGGGCACCAGGCGCAGCGCAGCAGCCAGCCGGTGACCCGCTGGACCAGCGGCACATTCCTCCCTCTTCTCCCATCCAGCGGGAAATATTTTCCGTGCGTGTCAGCTCTTTGCACCGGCCGAGTCGTGAACAAGCGCCTGGCGACACTCTCCAGGCCCTGGCGGCCCCCCCGAGCCGGGGACAGCGGCAAGGAAGAGGAGGGCGACTCACATGTGATGAAGTAATCCTGCTGCCGCTTGAACTCGAGGCCCATGTAGTTGGGGCTGAACTCCTGAAACTTGATGGTGAAGCGGATCTCCTGCTCGGGCCGGTTGCACGTCACCAGCACGTTGGGGTCCATGACGGTGCTGCAGGCATCTGCCTGGTCCTTCTTCACCAGGTACAGCTTGTAGTACTCGTAAGGCTTGGACGGCTCCGCCTTGGGGCAGATGATGTCCAGTTTATCCCCGATCTCCGGGTAGATGACCAGCCCCTTCCCCGTCATGAACCTGGAAGAGAGGAGGGCGACAGGTTAGCCACACGCTCCAGCGTCCCACCCCGCGCACGGCCCCGCTTTCGCACCGTTTATTTCGTGCTTAAACCCTGCTGCCTTCCCCCCACAACGTGTTTTTTGACACCAGAATAAAGCTCTCCTCTCCCTTCACCACCGCTGTGTGTGCAAGGAGCTGGGGCAGGCTCCCACGGACGGAAAGAGGGGCTCACTCGGCTCAGCCCCGCTCCCCAGCCCTCCAGCCCCTTCGCGGAGCCGAGCCCAGCACCCCGCAGGGAAGGGACCGGAGGCTTCCCCCGGAGCCGGAGATGCCACGGCTCTGCCCGACGGCCGGGCGAGGAGCTGCCCGCAGGGACGGGCGGTAATTAGGCGTGGGGAGAAGCCCTGAACACAGGGCGTGGGGAGGGATCCCTTCCCCGCCCCGGCTCCCCGAGGAATTCCTGTCCTTAAATGGAAGGGAGGGAAGCATCCTGCAGGACGACTTCGACGGCGTGCCCGGGAGCGTGGGAGGGCCGGACGGGGAGCAGGAGCAGGGAGGAAAGCTATTTGGGGCTGGAAGGCAGGGCATTACGAGGGGCAGGCAGGCAGGCAATCTGCTGCTGATTAGCATTCAGATTTCATTAACGTGGAGCCATATTCCGATTTCATTTTTTCCAGTGTGAAGGAGAGGATTAGGCCAACAGGGAGGGAACGCAACAGATCATCTGCTTTGATGTCGGCAACGTAACGCGCTCCTGATGGCAGATAAGGTGGGAATGGATGTTCCTGCAAAGTCACCTCTGCTGCAACTCCCTCGCGTCGTTTCGGCACGGCAGAAACGGAACGCGCGCTCCGGCAGGCTGCACGTCCGCGGCTTTCCCGTCCCGCTCCCGGACACGGCCCATCCCCGCCCCATCCCACGCCGGACGGGGACAGGGCCACGAGGACACCGCCTGGCCCCGGCACCCCGG